ACCCATTCCGCCATGGCGTTCAACGTTGCTGCCAGATATGCCGTACGTGCTGCTGCACGCTCGCAGCTCGCACCTGCACACGCCGCCCTCCCAAAAGCCATTGTCGCTCCCAGCAGCGTCCGATTCCTCGCCACCCCGCCGCCCAAGAAGTCGTCGTCGTCGTCGTCCAAATCCAAACCCTCTTCTTCTTCCTCCGCAGCACAGTCCAAAACTTCCGACGCACCGTCCGCAGAGCAGCCTACGCCAGAGCCGGAAGTCGACACGCGCCGTGGCTCGTCGATCTTTGACCTCGACACGTCGGCCATGCCAGTGGCATCACAGCTGATCGAGCAGACGGATGAGAAGGCGGGCAAGTCCGGCAGCACGGGTGCCAAGGCCAAGACGGGCGCACGCTCCATGTCGTCCATCGAACGCCGTCGGCAGCAAACGGTGCGCCTGTTCGGCGGTCTCGTGCTCGCCGGCGCCAGTCTGGTCGCCTACAACCTCGGCCGGCCGTGGGACAACGAGGCGGAGGCAGGGCGCTTCAAGGACGCACCCAACGCCGACTCTTTCTTTGGCCGCATCCAGCTCCGCACCGCCGCCATGTACGAGGACTTTAACAAGCCCGTGTTTGACCAGCTGCTGCCCGACCCGCTGCCGTTCCCCTACTCGAGGCCGTATACGATGGTGATCGACCTGGACGATCTGCTGGTGCACTCGGAGTGGTCGCGCGAGCACGGCTGGCGCACGGCCAAGCGACCGGGGCTCGACTTTTTCCTGGGCTACCTGTCGCAGTTCTACGAGATTGTGCTCTTCACCACGCAGCCCTTCTTCACGGCGGGTCCGATCATCGAGAAGCTCGATCCGGACCGCCGCTTTGTCGCCTACACGCTCTTCCGCGAGTCGTGCCGCACGGTCGACGGCAAGCTGGTCAAGGACCTGTCGCATCTCAACCGCGACCTGAGCAAGGTGGTTGTGGTCGACACCAACCCGGACTCGTTCCACCTGCATCCGGAGAACGGCATCCTGATCAAGCCGTGGAAGGGCGATCGTGCCGACCGCGAGCTCGTGGGGCTCGTGCCGTTCTTCGAGGCGATTGGGATCTACGGCATCGACGACGTGCGCAATACGATCAAGGCCTACGCGGGCACGCACATTGCGTCGGAGCATGCACGACGTGCGGCGCAGATCCGCGAGCAGGAGCTGGCCGACAACCGCGCACGCGCCCAGCGGCTGGGCAAGCTCGGCGCCGTGTTTGGCGGCGTCTCGCGCGGTGCCAACGCCGGCCTTCCGGCGGACAAGACCATCTACGAGCTCGAACACGACCGATACCTCCAGGCCTACCTCGAGGACCAGAAGTACTGGGCCGAAAACGGCGAGGCGCTGCGCAAGCAGGCCAAGGACGAGCAGGAACGTCAGATCCGCGAAATGAAGCTCAACACCTGGGGCTTCTTCACCGGCGGCATGAAGCCGGGCGCCCAGGACCAGGAGCAGCCGTCAAAGTAGACATGCAACCACCACTCAGCTCGGCAGCAGACCATGTTGAATCATGAACACCACCCTTTTCATCGCACATACACACGGCTTCGAACTGTTCCGATGTGTGTTGATTGCTGCGATTCCTACTGCG